ACTACGTTAGTCCGAATTGTCTTACCAGCTCGTTTTCTTTACATTTGGCGCCACATCCTGTGGCAGGTTACGCTAGTCCGCATTGTTCGAAGCTTTATTCAGTGTGCACAGGTTTTCTTTTATGTGGTGACGACCACACTATTGAGATTTTATCTTGATAAGATAGCGCTATTTGAGTTTTGTCGCATAGCGATCGGACTCGCGCCGCTGTTCGTTTTGAGAATTTATGTATTTCTTGCCGGTGCGTGTAGCAGCACCCGTTAAATGCCCTGGGGCAGCCGGACAGCATGCCGACAAGGCCGTTTGCCTGTGTTTGTTTTGGAGCGCTCTGATTAATGAAGTGAGCTGCGATCGATGATCGTCGCTCGACGGCGCCGCGAGCGTCAATCAGGAGGAGTGTGATTCCCGCTCACTCCCCGTGCCCTTCCTGCCCCTTCCCTGCTTCCCCGCTCTATCTCTCACGCCCGCTTTGTCGCTGCCGTTTTGTTTCGAACTAGGGCCCTTGGCCTTAGAGCTACGCAGAGAGTTTCGCCGCGCGATTCCTCGACAAACGATATCAGCGATATCCATATATCACAGGGTGGACCTAAGCCCGCTGCCTGCCGCCAGGGATGGCCCAGACTTCCCATCCCCAGGCGGGCATCCCCGAGTGGCCCTTTCCCCGTAGAGGGGCGATGCATCGACCCAATCGTCGCCCTTTGATCGCCGACAGGGGTCTGAAAGCCCCACCCAGCCCACGAACGTGCGGATTCGCTTTCGGGGCCCGTCGCCGGTCTATCGGCGATGTGCCGCCGCTTCCAGATCGATGCGCCCCCCCCCCCCCCCCCCCCCCTGGGCCAGCCCGCGGCACGGGCGCGCCCCCCGCTGCGAGGGGCCAGGATCACTATGTCGCCATGGGCAGGGGCCGGGGCCGGATTTTTTGTTCTGAGGTCTTTCCATTCGGGAAGCGACTCGCCTACCCGAATCATGCGCGTTAGACGCCGCAGCGTCCGCGCTGCAAGGGTCGCCCCCGCCGCAGACTGCGCGAGCTAGGCGCGGCGTGGCGGGGTCCGCCTTTAGCGCGGTCTGCGGCCGATGGTCAAAGTCCTCGGGGCGATCTCGCGTCGCCTCCTTGGCGCATTCGGCCATGTCGAACGCGAAACCGTGCGATATGTTTTGTTCAATTGGCTTTGGCAATTGAGGCTTTCGTTTGCGCGTCGCGTGCGTGCCCAAGCCAGGGGGCACCGATGACCATCGCTGTCTGCTCATCGCAGGGTCCGAGCTTTCGGGGCGCCATTTGTTTTAGGCGCTATTTTTCGACGGCCACGTTTATGTGTCCGTCGCACGTGCCGCCTCTTCCTGCGCTACTGTTTCATGAGTGGCGCGGCGTGCCCCGAGGACAACGCGGCGCGTTTCGGCGAGCATTCTGCTTGCGATTTCTAGCGCGTTTTGTTTCGGGGCCGTCTGCGGGCTGCAAGCGTGCGCAAGCGTGCCGCCCACTCTTAGCTTGTGGCCGGCAACGGCATCGCATTCGCGTGTGTTCCCGCGCCCGAGCTTCAGCTTTCATAGTGGACGTTATTGTGCGTTTCTAGTTGTTTGTTTTGTGTGTGTGTTTTGTTGTTTTTGTTGGGATGGTCGTGGGCTGCGTGCTATCGTCTCTTGGTCGATGTGCCATATAGATAACATAATAATAACAACACAAATACATGATCGTCATCGTCGTAGTCTTCGGAGTCATCGAGATCATGATCATCATCGGACCCCTCCCAGCGCTGAGAGTCGGCAGCGTGTGGGGACGGTGGGGCGTGTTCCACGGCGGCCTGGCTTCGCGAAGGTCCGCTTGGGCGGGTGTGCCGGGCGAGCTAGGCTCGCCCGTGTTCCGCGTGGAGCTAGGCCGCCTTGGAAGACACCTCTCTGTTCCCACACGCTGCCGCTGCCAGGGGTCAGGATGACGTGAGTTCACAAGACAACCACATATGCGTCTTCCTACTAGGTCTGGGGACACGGCCTAGGAGATATTAAGTCTCGCCGGGATGCGGGACTTGTTCCATGTCCACGATTTAAGAGCTTTCCGAGGGGGGCGCTGCCGGAATAGCGTCGGCGACGGCGACGGAATAGCTTCAACACCCCGTCCCCCCAGTTGCGGATAAGAACGAGGGGGCGCCCGACCACGCACCCAGGGACTCTGTAAGACTGCTCGGCCCCGTCACTTCTGGTTCTGGCCTGAGACTGAGCAGTGCAAGAGTACAGACGGACAGGGGGCAACCGTCCGCAGCCGACACCCCCACTTCCACTTCCTCCGTTTCCTCCTCCACCTCCACTCCCTCCCTTTCTCCTCCACTTCCGCCCTTCCCCCTTCCATTTCCAGTGCCTCCCCCGTCCTCCTCCACCTCCACTTCCTCCCCTTTTTCTTTTTCGATGCTCTCTAGGGTTTCTCGGGGACCCTCGTGGCCTTCTCTTGCGACGTGGCCCAATTGAGGGGTATAAAAACTCGTCGGAAAACTTCCGTCTGTTTTTTCGTTGTAATTTGACAGGTATGCGTGGCCCCGGGGAAAAAAACATGGTTTTTATACCAGGTGCGCGCTCCACCAGCCCAAAGTTTTTCGACGGGGTCCCGAAAAAAGTCCGCCAAGTTTTTCGACGGGGCCCAAAAAAAGGGCCGCCAAGTTTTTCGACGGGCCCGGGCGGTTTTTCGACGGGGCCGTCGGCCGGTGGATTTTTTGCCCGATGACCCCCAAGAGGGGGCCCCAAGAGGCCCCAGGAGGCCCCATGAAACCCCAGGAGGCCTCAAGGGGCCCCAGGAGGTTCCAGGACCCAGGAGGCCCGACGAGGCCCCAGGAGGCCCCAGAAAATTCCAGGAGACCCCACGAAGCTCCAGGACGCCCCAGGGGGCCCCCGGAGGCCCCAGGATACACCAGGAGGCCCCAGGATGCGCCTGGAGGCCCGAAGAGGCCCAAGGAGGCCCCAGGAGGCTCCAGGAGGCCCCACTGGGGCTTCTTTCGACTGGAAGGGCGCCGGCCATCCGCAGTGGGAGGGGAAGGGGAGGAGGAGGAGGAGGCGGAGGAGGAGGAGGAGGAGGACGAGGAGGAGGACGACGACGACGACGCAACGAGGATGACGGCGAGGATTTGTGATTGGACTTTGACTCAGCATTGGGTCGATGCTGACCGCGCTTGAAAGCAGCAGCAGGGCATCCTAGTGTTATTGCCTCGCCTTTGGCGGTGGCGGGCTCGGTCAGCTGTGTCCCGACGTATGGTGTGGAGTTTACACAAAAACTTGCGCGCCGAAGGTGCTTTTAATCATGTTAGAGCCGTCATTGGCGGGCAGCAAATGCCCCGAATAGTTTAAGGCAGTTCGAGTTGAAATTCTGAAAACTGGCACTCAAGTGCGCATCGAATGCGCATAAAGAGCGCCGGCGCGCGGGAAACGCTTCGATCAGATGTCAAATCAATGCGTGGAGCATTTTAGCAAACGCTATCGTAACATAAATGCTTGGGCCTGCAAGCAAAACGAACTGCATATATGTTGTACTTCATCTAGCACCATGGCGTCGTGTCTGGCGGGGCCAGGGAACAATCACCGCAGTTCGTTGTCAGCGAGCGCTGTTTGCTCGGAGGTAGCGTGCAGTTGTTGGCTCTCGCATCGCGCGTGCCGCGAACTGCGCGCCCGCAAACTTAACGACGCGTTGCTGTCATAAATGGTGGCGTCGGGGCCCTCGCGCAGCTGTCGGCTCTGTTGCAGCCCTGAGAGCTTTTGTAAGCCCCCAAACGACCGCATTTCGTTGTTCCCGTGCTTGGTACTTCTCCTAAGCGCGTCGGTAGTCGCATGGGCGTCTGCCATTCCTGCGGGGTTGCCTCTTTCGCGACTCGGCCCCGCTGACCCGTTCAGCTTATGATGCGTTGGCGAATGACGTCGAAGCTTTGGCTGGGCAGTGCCGTTGCCGTCGCGGTGCAACAGACCCCAGCAGCCCCGCCGTTCGAACTCGGCGGGGGCCGAGCGGCGGGTGAATTCAGGAAATTTGAAAAGCGAGCTCAGCTCCGAGATCAGGCGCCCAGGTGCGGGCATTTGCCGCTTCCGGGCCGTCGGCATTTTGAGATTGCATTGGCTAGGTCGACGCCCCAGCTTGTCAGGTCGCGCAACCAGGCGCTGCGATCGCATCAAGATATGTTCAGAGGAAACAGAAAATCCTCAAAACAAATCCACCGCTTCCCCCTCGAGGGGGTGCCGATGGTGAACTACGGGTGGGGCGGCGGGGGCGCTCGGGGGGAGGGAAGGGCCGAGCGACGCAGCGCGATGGCCACCGCTGCCACCGCTGCCGGTCTTCTCCCGCGGAGTGCCGCTGAGCGCGGACGCCACCGCTGCCAGGCGCCCCAGCTGGGCCCCCCCTCCCGGGGGGAGCGACCGCCCCTGGGGGGGAACGCGGCGGCATCTCTGTAGGCGCACGCCGCGACATGGATGAGTACAATGGCGGAAGAGTGGGTGAGTGAGCGAGTGAGTGAGTGAGTCCCTGGACATCGTCCAATCCACCCTTACACCCTTACGCAGGGAGCCCCTTCAGTGCTTTCCTGCTCTGCTCGGCTTTGCTCTGCCGGGCGTCCCTTGTTTTGTTTCGCGCCGCGTCGCGGGTCCGGTTCTTGTTTTTTGTTCAAACCCCTCGCAGGGTCTCACACGGTTGCAGCCGAGATTGTTGTTACTGAAACCGTTTGGCTCAAGGAAAGGAACCCGCGGGCTTCGCCATTCCGCATGGTAGCGGAACCTGGTTGTGATCACGGCCAGGCTCCCCGTTTCTCGCGCAGAGATGGCCTCAGCAGAGGAGGTGTTGAATAGGGTTGTGGCTATGGAAGGCGTCGTGGTTCAGCAGAGAGATCAGATAGTGAGGCTCGAGCAGCAACTGAGAGAGGCAAACCAACGAGCAGCAGCAGCGGTTCCAGCAGGTCAAGACGATCTCAGAGCAGGGGCGGTTCCACGTGCAGAATCATTGGTGGACACGAAGCGGCTTGGGAAGCCTGACAAGTTCTCAGGAGAGCTTGACGAGAATGCGAAGTACAAGGATGGAGCTACATGGAAGAACTGGAGTTTGGTCCTAGCGGCCCACTGCAGGACGGTGGACCCGCACGTGGCTGAGCTGATGAGGGACGCGGTCAAGGTCGACGCAGAAGGATACGCTCATGAGCATCTAGATGACGAGGCTCAGCGCGTGAACACGAATATGTACTACATTCTAGTGCTCACGTGTAAGGGCAAAGCGAAGGGCATCGCGAAGAGCGTTCCATCGGGAGAAGGACTGGAGGCATGGCGTCTACTATGTGTGGACTTCGAGCCGAAGGTACCGTCCAGGTTCTCAGGGATGCTAGACTCGATTCCGTATCCAGCCGTGCAGGACAATGATTCGATCAAGGGCGTAGTATCCTGGGAGACGCTGGTGCAGCGATATGAGGAGCAGACGGGCGAAAAGGTCAAGAAGTCAGTGTTGAGCACCCGTCTGGTCTCGACCAAGCTTCGGGGGCATCTCATGTTGAACGCGACGAGGTGTACGACGTACGCCCTTTGCACGAGCAGAGGTCCTGAATTACTTGAGATCGAAGCTGGCAGCGATGGCGCCCAGTGGACCAGCACCGATGGACTAGGATGTGCTTACGTTCTGGAAGCACGGCAAAGACGGAAAAGGGAAGTACGGCAAAGGCAAGGACGGCAGAGGCAGGGGGCATGACAACACCACGACTAGCCAGCCACGTCAGCATTGCGGGGAAAAGGGCCACAAGCTGATGGAGTGCAGGAAGGCTACACAGGACATGGAGGAAAGACATATCACTAAGGAAGAGCTTCGGACAATCAGCAAGGGCAAGGGCAAGGTCAAAGGTAAGTCCGACACTCAGGGGAGCGCGCCACCGCCCCACAAGCCCAAACAGCGAGACATGAAGTACTTAGGGGACTACGGCGCCGAGGAGGGCTATATCTTCACGATGAAAAGAGTGCGAGAACGAGGACCTAGACGACCAGGAGAACACGGATCACACCTGAGGAGATAGACCACATCGGAGTTGCAGACTATTTGGTGGATCTAGACGCGAAGAGGGAGCCCACTTACGAGACCAACGAGAATGACGAGAGTTACCTGGTTCCGATAGAGGAGTTTGAGAACGAGAACGACGGGAAGATCGAGGTAATGATCGATTCGTGCGCGGCGAGAAGTGCATGCCACCTGGTTTCGCGCCGAGAATGCCGCGACAGGAAGCGGACGCGCCACTACTACGCCAAGCCGATGGTACCAAGATATGCGCGGGCGGCTGCAAGGCGGTACATATGGGGGTAGCTGGGGCCAGGCAACCGATTCGAGGTCAATTTGATGTGCGCGACGTGCGCAATACGATCATAGAGGTCAGTGACTTGACGAAGGGAGCGCAGGGCGCGTGGTTCGATGAATACGGAGGCGCGGTGGCATGCCCGACGGTGAGCAAGAAGATCCAGGAGGTGATCGAGTACGAGGACAGATACAACAGGGCGAACAAGCCGCTCTAGATCGCGGAGAGGCGTGGCATCTACAGTTTCGACGTAGATGCCAGCGCGCTTTGCCCACTGGAAGGAGATGGAGATCCAGTGCAAGTTCCGTTGGACAGCGAGGAGGCGCAGAGGCATGAGATCAAGAAGGAGCGATGCAAACCCACAGCGGAGGAAATGTCCATCCACGAGGGGACGCACATGCCTCATCGGGACTGGTGCAAGTGGTGTCTTCGGGGCCGAGGCAAGGAGGATGGTCGCAAGAAGGCCAGCCCCGAGGAAGCGCCGGCGATGCCGGTCACCAGTGTGGACTACTGCTTCGTGAACACCGAGCTGGAGACAGAGGTGATCGACATCCTGGTGATGGTTCAGAAGCCTGAGGACGCGGTGGCTTCTATCATGGTGATCCATAAGGGGCCCAGCGAGTACGTCAACTCAGCGGTGGAGTTCTACTTGGACGCCTGGGGAGCTGCTGACGTCATCCTGAAGGGCGACCAGGGGCCATCTCTACAGGCGGTGATCACGGCGGTAAAGAACAGGAGGAATCACAGCACGCAGGTGGAGGAGGCACCGAAAGGCCCTCGCCAGAGCAGCGGGGCGATCGAGAACGCAGTGGAGAGAGCGGAGTCACTCCTGCGCACGTTGCGCGGCGAGCTGGCGGCGAAGCTGGAGGTGAAGATTGGGCCAAAGAGCTCGATCGTGCCGTGGCTGGTCAGGCGCGCGGGGCGCCTGTTCACCAGGTTCGCTATTGAGACGGATGGCAGGGCAGCTTGGGAACGATTGGGCCGCGCGAAGTTCAAGTCGGAGCTTGGTGAAATCGGCGAAACGATCGATTGCGAGATCCGGGCGAAAGACTATTCCGAGCTGGGGCCGCGGTGGGGCGAGGGCATCTTCTCGGGCAGGCGCGACGAGGGCGACGAGGCCATCGTCGGGGCAGCGCGAGGCATCGAGCGCGCCAGGGCGATGAAGCCGAGGGCCACGAGAGGCAAGTATAACAAGGAAGTATACAACATGCCCATTGAAATTCCGTGGAACCCCAGAGGCTTAGAGGCGAAGGATCAGAGCCAGGCGGCTCAAAGAAGGAAGTACGTCGCGAAGGCGCTGACGAGGGGCACTGGCCCACGGGCGGGCGCGCAGCTTGCGAGGGGGGGCTCGGCGATGTACCGCGCGAGGCGCAGGGCGAGGTTCGCCGAGATCTTCGACGAGGCCGAGCCGAGGATCGAGGTGGCTGCAGCAGGTCGCCAGCACAACCTGAGGCACGCGCAGCACCAGCGGGAGTTCTATCAGCACAGGCACCACCAGAGGAGGCCAGAGTTCGATAACCACGACAGGAAGAGGAAGATGAGCGAGCTCCAGGTACACCAGTTGGTTATCTCTTCGGACGGGGGTCTCCCATCGAGCAGGACGTGGATGCGACGGGCAACGCGATCGTTGCAGGAGGAGACGTCGCACCGACTACGCCGTGACGGGACGAGGTGATGGAGATAGGCGTCCTTATGTCGACCACGAAGGAAGAGGATCGCCACGTCTGCGAGGAGATGGAGCCGAGGGTGAACTACGACAAGCTACTGGGCGATGGGATCTACGGGGACGCGTGCACATGAGAGGAGTTGTTGAAGGAGCTGGTCATCAACGGCAGGACGAAGGAGATGAAGAGCATGGAGGAGTTCTTTGGGCGGGTGCCGCTTGAGGACTGGATGAAGCCGTTCGACGCCACATGGATCGACCGTAAGGAGTGCGACCTACAGAACAACGAGTGGATCGTGAGGAGCCGATGTGTTCATTGGGGGTGCAGCGGTGGAACCGACCCCTCGAATTTAGCAGGGGCGCCCGCACTATTCGTAGTAAAGTTGGTGGTGTCAAGGGCAGCGCCACCAAGGGCGACCGGACAGCGGAAGAAGAAGCTTGGGCTCTATGGCATACCAGCTGCGTTCTTTCACGCGTCGCTGAAGGAGCCCCAGTATTGATGGCCACCACCAGAGCATCAACGACCAGGCCTGCTCTAGAAGCTGCAGAAGGCAATGCATGGGACGCCAGAGGCATCAATGCTATTTCAAGGAGAAGCTCGTGACAACTTCAGCCAGAAAGGATATGAGGAGTTGAAGACGGTGCGTTGTTTGTACTACCATCCTGGCAAGGACTCACTGCGTGCAGGACATGGTGACGATTTTGTGGTGGAATCTCACGACGGGGAGATGGGCGAGTTCGGCGAGCTGGTGGCCGACATGTTCAAGGTCAAGCCACAACCCCGAGTGGGGTCAGGAGGAGGAGCTGAAGGTACGTTTCTCAACAGGACGGCGCTCTGGGGCGAGGAGGGCTTCGGCATTCTACCCGGCCCGAAGCTGATTCTAAATGTGGTGGAGTTGTACGAGCTGAAGCAGGCTAAGCCAGCAGAGACACCGAGTCCTATGCACACTGCGAAAGGAGCTCGGGAAGCTGAAGACCCAGTGGGGCGACAGAGCTCGACAGTTTACCGCAGTTGTGGAGGTATTGCTCAATATCTGGCTGCAGATCGTTGGGATATTCAAGAAGCAGTTCGAGAGCAGAGTTGTTCATGCAATGACCCGCGGGTGAAGCACATGCTCAAGCAGACGCGCCTGGTCAGGTACTTGAAGGGGACTGCCGACGTCGTTATCTTCTACCCGTGCCAGGAGGAGGCGTTCAAGGCGAAGGCGTCGGTGGGCGCAGACTGGGCAGGACAGGAGGCCACGTGCAAGAGCACTCATCAGGAGGAGTTCGACTTGGAGCTCATCTGCTGGAGAGTTGGGTGCTATCTCAAGCGACGGTGGCACCATCAAGTGGGGGGTCGGGGTTCTACGCGATGGGTTCAGGCACGGCCAGGGGACTCACCGTCAAGCGCGCGTTGCAGGAGATGGCGGAGATGAGGGGCGAGAAGACAAACATCACCCTGGAGCTGGAGACGGACTCAGCAGCGGCGAAGGGCATGATTCATAGACATGGAGCGGGTCGAGTACAGACGAGGTGGATATGGCATCGAGACTTGGCACGCGACGGCGAGATGGAAGTGGCGACGGTCAATGCGAAGGGCCAGGTTGCGGATATCAGGACAAAGCCGGTGGATAAGGATACGCTCCGAAGGCGCATGAAGACCCTGGGTTAGATTTCGATCCAGGCGACGAGTTTCAGGGGCCCAGAAGTGTTGACGAAGATGTTCGCTGTCACGTCGGTCGCTTCAGGAGCAGAGGCGACAAAGTACTACTACGAGGATGGCGTCAACATCAAGGTGAACATGACGAGCGACGTCAGTTTGCGGAGTTGTCTTTCGCACGTGGTGGTAACTATCATAGCAGTGGTGTTCAAGTACTACAGGTTTGTAGTGAAGGCGAAGCAGGACGGAGAGGGTTTGCGAGACAGTTCGCCAGAACCCGATGGGGAGACACACAGACACGAGTTGCGGCTCAAGCGAGCGACCACCGTCGAGGAGGCGTCGCCGAGACGATCGCCCGAGTCAGAGGTGCACGTCAAGAAGTTGAGGTCAGTTTCAGTGCAGGGAACAGTGACCTACACGAGCAGGAGCAAGCTGAACCAGTACGCCGACGGTCGCTACACACCGTTGGGCTTGCATGACTGGGGAGCTTGGCATTAACAGTATGGCACACACCCTGGACGACCAGCACGAGATACTGTGTGTGTGTTGAGCGTTGTTCAGATGACATACGACGGAGTTTGATCACCCCCCGAGGTCGTAGCGCGCGAGATAATGAGAGTCAAGAGGCCTGATACACACGTGAATGAGAGGTTTCCTATTCCATGGCTGTTTCTGTTGCGTGAGGCGGAACCGAGCGGTTTCGCACAGTGCTGTGTAATTTGATGTGGTGGGCTGACGAACCCACTAGCTTGCACAGCGGCCTCGAGGAGGGCTGCAGGGCTTCACACGTTTGGAGCCGAGATTGTTTTTACTAAAACCGCTTGGCTCAAGGAAAGGAACCCATGAGCTTCGCCATGCCGCATTCCTAGTTTTGTTATTTGCCTCGCTTCGGGGCTGCGATTTCTACGCGACAACCTAGAATATTCAACTCCTTGTTGTTTTTAATTCCTTGGTTTTTCTCTCTGTAACTGCTGCGCCCGCATAATCCGGAACCCTTCCAAAACATCATTTCTGGTACTCTGATCACGGGAGCCCGTGAGTATCTTGCAAATGTTATAAACGAATGTGCGCGGTGCAAGGCGAGAGCCACATTTTGAAAAGGAACGGTCCTCAATCCGTGAAGCTCTTGCAACAGTGTAAAACAAATGCGCGCGGCGCGAAGGCGGGAACCACATCTTGAAATCGACTTGCCCTCAATCCGTGAAGCTCTGGCAGATTTTCAAAAAAGTGCACGGCGCTGAAGCGAGAGCCACATTTTGAAAACGGCCCGCCTTCCATCTGTGAAACTGATACCACTCTGTAGGCTTCGGAGTCATAAGTGGTCAGGAAGTCTCAGGGGAAACGCCCGGCCCGCCCTACAAACTGGCCTCGGGGTGAGACGGGAAAATTCAGAAGGAACAGGAATAGGGGAACAGGAGGAGAAGGATGAGAAGGAGGAGGGGGATGAGGATGGGGAGTGAGGAGGGACGAGGAAGACGGATGACGATGATCATGAGGACGAGGAGGAGGAAGCGGAGGAGGAGGAGAAGATGGACGAGGAGGGGGGAGGAGGAGGAGGAGGAGGAGGAGGAGGAGGAGGAGGAGAGAGGAGGAGGAGATGGACGAGGAGGAGGAGGAGGAGGAGGATGAGGAGGAGGAGGAGGAGGAGGAGGGACAGGGCAGGGCATGGGAAGTGTGTGTGTGTGTGTGTGGGGGGGGGGAGAGCGGCGCAAAATCGCGACACGTCGCCGCTGCGTCGCCACCCAGGTCACCAGCAGTGGCGCGCGGGGGGTAGTTGCGCTTCGCGCGTCGAGGCCTTGGCTGAAGCGCCGTCCCTCGCCGAGGTGGCCGCGCGAGCGCGCGAGGAGAAGCGCGCGCGTCGCGCATCGGCGGCCGTGGCGCGCGCGAAGACGGGTGACCTCTGCCACCACTGACAGGGGCGGCGGAGCCGCGCACCGTCCACCGTGCCATCGCTGGACGCCGGCGGTGCGGTCGAGGCACCGCGTGCAGTCTCAGAGAGAGAGAGAGAGAGAATTATTCACTGCGTGGAGCTCCCCATATGTGCATCTACTCGCATGGACCTGTCCGCCGTGATCACCCCTGGTTATGAAGGGTTGACCCGGTAAGTGCATTCGAGCCGGTTCAGCCGTCAACGGGGGGGGGTGTTAGTGGTGGAGCGTTTCCGCCGTTATTCATCGTTCCAGGGGGGTCAATTTCGATCGGACCCCCGGTCATTTTTCCTAAGTGGGGGGTCTGCCTGCGCGCGATGTGTCAGTTGTCGGCTTCTGCTGCTGCTGCTACTGCTGCTGCATGCTGGTGCTGCTCCATGCTGCGGCCCCAAGAGGCCCCCAAGAGCGCCCCGAGACGCCCCCAAGAGCGCCCCAAGAGGCCCCCAAGAGAGCCCCAATATTTTTTGTTTTTTCTTTGATCCCTCGGGGAGCTTTCGGCGGCCCCCGAGAGGCCCCCAAAGGCTCCTAAGAGGCCCCCAAGAGGCCCTCAAGGGCCCCCAAGAGGCCCCCAAGAGGCCCCCAAGAGCGGCCCAAGAGGCCCCAGGAAGCCAAAATAATTATTACAGAAAAAGTAGCGGAAATCACAAATTTCTAAGATTTCGGGGGACCCGCCGCTTTCGCCCCTTGTTCTGAACACTTTTTGGCGCGTCGCCGCGGCTGGTTTTTATTGGCCTGCGCGCGAAAAAGCCACCCCTGGCCCGCCCGGAGGGGCGTCCAGAAAATTTGCTTTTTGGGGGTTCCATTATTCAGGGGACATTCGAAAAACCCACAGTTTCGGCAGGCCCCACGAATAGTGGAAGCGGGGGCTGGGGGGGCCCGAGACGGCCAGAAAAGGATTCCAAAATCGTCAAAGTGCGGCCTTGGAGGCCCCATGATGGCCTCAAGAGGCCGCGATATTTCCCCAAGAAGGCGCCATATGGCTTCAATGGTTTCCAAGACGCTCTTGGGGGCTTTCGGGGCCTGTATGCGTTCTTATGGGGGCCTGATGGTGGGCTTCTTGAGGCCTCATGGGGCCATGTCGGGGGCCTTTGGGGGCCCTTTTGAGGGCTTCTGGGGGCCTTATGGGGCCATCTTGTGGGCATGTGGGGAGCCTTTCGGGAATATTGTGGCCTCTGGTGGTGGTTTGGGCCCCTGTCCAACGACTTGTGTCGTGCCAAGCCAGAGTGATTTGCTCATGAGATGATTCTGCAATGCGTCAAAAGCTTTATTCATCGCCGGAGTGGGGTGTTGTGTTTGAAGTTGGGTTGTTATGGTTCGAGAACCCCCCCTCGTGTGGCGCCGTTAGAATCGTTATTTATCCTTCCAGGGGGTGAGTTAGAGTGAGTCAGGTTTTTCATTCGTCACGGCTGAGGGAAGGTTGAGTGTTTCGCGATTTATTTGTATTATTCAAGCCTGCTGCGACCAGGGTCCAGCGTTGTATTGCCGGGGGTGATCCGCCGTGAATGTCTAGGCGCAAGAGCTTTCGAATATTAACGGGCTTCAGTTGTGACGGTCTGGACATCAATCTAACTGCGAATGAATTGGAGTGTGAATGAACCTCAGTAGTACGAGCGCGTCTCTGTGCATGAGCCTGGGGCCTCCTGGGGCCTCCTGAAACCTACTGGGGCTTCCTGGGGTCTCCAGGAGCCTCTTGGGACCTCCTGGGACCTCCTAGGAAGGTTTCGTG